GGCCCTCGCCGGCGTCTGGCGAGGGCCACCCTTGCCGGCGTCGAGCGAGGGTGGCCCTCGCCGAGATCCAGGCGAGGGCCGCCCTCGCCGGCGTCGGGCGAGGGTCGCCTCGCCGGGCGAGCGAGGGCGGCCCTCGCCCGACTCGGGCAAGGGCCGCCCTCGCCGGTGTCGGGCGAGGCCGCCCTCGCTCGCCGGAGCAAGGCGACCCTCGCTCGACGCCGGCGAGGGTGGCCCTCGCCGGAAAGGAAAAAAAAGAAAAACAAAAAAGACGAAAATGCCCATGGACTAAAGTACAATGGGGTAAATGTGTCACAAATAGCATAGTTTGGGGTTTTTGGTGTCACAAAAAAAAGTTCAGGGTAAATGTGTCACAGGTGGCAAAGTTTGGGATTTTTGGTGGTCTTTTCCCTTCTTGTAATTACCAAAAGCTCATCACACCAAACAAAAAAGATCGGTCCTTATACAATCTTTACATTCTATGCATGAAATAGTCGAATCTATCGACCATCAACTTGTTCCCATGTTTGTTTGCTGTAAAATGCGCGTTGAAAAGTTATATACTACTTACTTTAACCAAAAAAAAAACTTGTTCCCATGTTCTCTTCCTCCATGATTGTCCCTTTTATTTTGGGATAACCTTGAGAGAAACCTGTTCCCCGTGCGTCTGCCCGTCGTGGCGTGTAGACCACCTCACGGAATGACTGGGCAACCCTAAACTTGCCACAGGGTAAGTCCACACAGGTTCGCCTAAGTCCAAACCACGCACCGCGATTTCCCCTGGACAAGCAACTTTCCGTGGAGCAAACCCCGGCCGCTTCAATTGCCGTTGCCAGCGTAGAATGGTGGATGTCTTGGTCCCCAGAACTTCATCCCACTGTAAGAGTTCCTTACTGCAATAAAAGTGCGAGAAAACATAGATTAGCAGTTTTCCATGTGAGTAAGAATTATACACAGCTAGCTAATTGGACCGACAAACAAATAGTCAAGTTTGAATCGTTTAGTGGATCAATTGATTACCATGTGAGGATGAACTATTGCGGCCAATCCAGATCTGGACATAACTCTATTTCGCCCTCCCACCAACCACACACTCCGCGCAGGGTTGAAGCACTTCTCTGGTAAATCGCTGATCCGATCGTGTGCCTGCAAGTTAGGACCGTGGAGGACATGATCGTTGGATGCAAGTCCAAAGTGGCTTGTGTGGAAGCGAAACATGATCCGTGATTCTTCCTTTCATCTGGCATCACAAGGTTTTGCGTCGAAGGAGCAACTTCTCCACATGGACAGACTATCGAGTGGCTAGGGCATGGAACACCAGTTGATGAAGGGCCTGCATAAATACGCAAATATTTGGTCATGTTCATTACTGCCGTGGATAGACTTGCACAACCTACCGTATACGGTTCAAACATTCCCATGCTTAGAGGTGTTATTAATGGCAGGTTTTTTTTTGGGATTCCTTTCCTCTATAAGCAAGACCATATGCATCCCCTCGTTTGTTACTTAACCATATGAGAGAATTGACACATGGACGTGTAGATTGTAAATATTTTTTATCGATGGAATGGTCGACGGCTATTTCAAGATATCGAACATGGCTACTAGATGAATCCGATAAAAGCTCAAAGTACGATATAGAACCGAAAATGTTAGATCGTTGTATGTCAGACTTATGACTCTTTCCTTTTGCGCAGTAAAAGTAATTGGACTTATAATTGATCGGAAAGATTTCCAAAACCGACCACACTCATACGTCATATCCAGTTTTAAATGATTTCGTAAGAGGATATATACATATATATTATATGAGCAAGTAAAGGAAATGATGTGGAGAAATAAATGTGTCATTGCAGGATATTTGCCCACTAGTGAAATTCTCGGCATAATTATCCAAAAAGTCATAAACCTATTGTACGGACCTTTCAATTATGCCATTTTAGTCCTAAACCTTTTGATAATTTGTCAATTCAGTCCTAAACCTTTTAATTATACTAATGTAGTCCTAAACCTTTTGAAGCTTTGTCAATTTAGTCATAAACATTTTAACGAATTACTAATGCGGTCCTTCCGACTAATTTTGATCAGAAATCACTGACGCTAAGGTCCAATTAACGCTGGTTGTCCTACGTGGTACCGTCAGTGGTGACGTTGACAGTTTTTTAAATTTTCTTAATTTTGTAATGATTTTTTATTTTTCTTTAATTTTCTTTGTTTTTCTTTTCTTTTCCCTCTTTATAATACACAGGGCCACTAGGCACTAGCAAAGGGCTGGCAACCCATGCCGGCCCATGGGCGTGGGCCGTGAAGCCCTCGCTGAGTGCAAGGGAGGGTGAGGACCACAATGCCTTCGCTTTGGCCCACAAGGGCTCATAACACCCTCGCCCACATTAAAGGAAAAAAGAAAGTAAAGGTGAAATGAAACATATAAATCATTATTAAATTAATAAAAATCCAAAAACAACTTAACAAATTGTCCACGTCAGCGCCAGTAGCATCACGTAAGATGGCTAGCGTTGACTAGATCGCCACGTTAGCTATGTAATAGGTTTATGACTTTTTCGATAATTTTTTTGAAAATTCTGTGGCTACATTGGGTTGACATCTTTCTGTAAAAGTATTTAGCACTGATATGCAAATGTCTTAGTATGTACTATCTATCATTGATATTACCAATATGAAAAGAAAAGCAAAGATAATAGTTTTATTTGCAAAGGAGAATCAAGTACAACAATGGTTGTATTTTTACAAGGCATAATACCATAATTATTTTTTTCGTTTTCTATTATGTATGTGAAAACTTCTTTACCCAAATTTCCCCTTGTCTAGGATATGATGCATTTGAACTGGAGCTACTTCAACAAAATCCTCTTGTGAACTGCATCAGTAACCTCTTGCCCAAATACACATTTCAATAAATTAGTGAAACCATGCTATGAATCATGCGTCAAACAAAATAAACGTAACTTACTTGTCTCCACATAGCCTGTCAGTCTAAAAGGGAAAAATTGTCTAAAAAATCTCAAACCTATTGCACTTTGACCAATTCAGTCATAGACTTTTCAAATTTGCCAAATGATTCGTAAACCTTTTTCACGTTCCGCCAATTGAGTCCATTTAGCCAAATTTAGCTGGAAATCACTAACACGTAAGATGGCCGGCTCTAACGTGGACAATCTTTTATAATATTTTTAAAAAATTATTTTTTATAATTTTTTATTATTTTTTATTCTTTATTTCTCTTCCTTTTTTTTCTACCAAGTCCTACGCCAGACTTGGTAGAAGAAAAAATGAAAAGATAAAAAATTATTTAAAAAATTCAATTTGTTTAAAAAAATTATAAAAAAAATTGTACCTTGGGATTAAAATTGGCCCTATCAGTGTCCACGTCGACGATTTCCAACTAAAATTGGCCGGAATGACTCCATTTGCAAAACGTGAAAAAGTTTATGATTCAATTGGTAAAATTGAAAGGTTTAAACCTGAATTAGTCAAAAAACAATAGATTTAGAAGTTTTTGGACAATTTTCCCATATAAGAGCGACCTCTGGCATTGAGCTGGACTTTTTAGGTACTCTTGATTTAAATTTTTATTGTACTTTTTTGGGTTAAGAAAGGATCAAAGGGCAAACGTCTTAAAAATTTACATCCCCATCAGTTGGAGGCATACCTCCAATAAAATCTCTGAGTAAACTATTACACACTTTCATTTAGACAAGCTTCAAAGCAACATAATCTTGATCTTGCTTCAATCCGATAGCACCGAGTGCATCAGCACATCCTTCAGCCTCCCCAACACAGGTGTTCCATCTTCACTTATTGGAACTCCTTCATCCACCTCCTGCAATCTTCAAGAACAGGATTCAATAAGTGACAACAACAGAAGTCATCTTCGGCCGGTTCTCCCATGTCTTCTTGCACACACGACAGTCCAATGTGGATGCAATTCGACAGTTGAACTTCGTCATACGATCACTTAGGCGAAGCGACCATGGGTTCCAACGCTCTACCTTGAGACTCCAGTTTCCATGCATGTTTTATTGGAGCAAGATGCTGGAATTATAAGAGTACGACCATGACTTGTTTGGCAAGGATAGTAGCATTCCATGCATATTCGTTACAAGGGACGTACGTACTAACGCGAGCAGGGTCTGACCAAGTTATGTCACGCGCAAGCAGCTATTCTTTATCGCACTCGTTATGGCCAGCAAGGAAACATACTATGCTGTCCAAGGATAAGTTCGAAAATGAGATTTGCCTTAAGAGAGTAGTTTTAGCTGTAGTAGTATTACAAAATTTCTTGAGCTTTCAAGGTCCATCTAATTACCATCTGAATGTCAAATTCGACTAGATTCACGATGCGGAACGGGTGTTTATTGCATAACTTCAACCATAATATTATCCATAATCCTTAGTATAGAAGAGGCTTTTGATATGTAGAGGCGATGTTGGAACTTACCAGTCTTTCTTCCAATTGCTGAATTACTACTCTCAGTGAGAATAGAATCATATCGTGCTGATTAGGAGGGACTAGTCCCCTCCGGACGATAGAGCTCCTGCCTTACATGCAATTATAAGTTCTATCAATCAGAAACTTGCCCTAGTATCTACGTAGATGATCAATATCATTTCCAAATCCTTAGGTTACCCAATGCAGAAAAGTGATATCTGAGATTCTACTCGACATTAGCTGTTAAGTTTCAATTACACAGTTACCCTAACAATCGGGTCGAACCAAGGAAACGGGCTGCCCGTGCCATACAAAGTGAGGAAGGCACATACGTTACATCTCTCAGAATCCGTCATTCTCACAACAATCTGCTGATTCTGTCCAGCTCTTAAAATATCAAGGGGTGAATATAGTATGGGGATTTAAATTGACTACCAATAAGAGAAACTAAATAGTTAGGGTAGAAAAAGATAGATAAATGGATGCAGTAAAGTGACCCAAAACTTTTTTTTTTTAAATCATTACCAGAATTACCATCTAGGCAGTGGGCAGTAGGCAGAGGCCGATTTTCTATAAATTCAGGATATATGGTTTTTTCGCCTTCGCTTTTGCTTCATTTGCTTCTTGTATTCGTCATATAATCTGAGTGCCCTTGTTGTACGATCTAACTCACTCCTCAATCTCTCATTCTCTTTGATGTCGCGCAGGAGCATATAATGCTCTGATAGCTTCTTTTTCACCTCATCTTCATTGAGAGAACTTGCTTCCTCCAGAAGCTGGGCCACACTGGATGCCACCACTCCATCACTAGCACGTTTCCTCTTGTTGCTCAACTTCACAGCATTGCTCTTCACGCTGAAGGATTCCCGTTCAAGTGATAAGTTTAGAAAAGCTTGTTGTGGGGAGAGAGTAGAGAGATGAGCTTGGGTAGGAGCAACGCTCAAGTTAGAGATGCCAGAAGCCAAAGTTGAAATTGTTGGATGATAATGTTTTGTTAGAAGGTTGAGTTCCCAAAGCACGGAAGCTAGTGCACCACTTTGATTAGGGTCCGAGGCATATGGTTGATATTTCTGCACAACAGTAATTGCTATTAGAGAGATTGTTCGTAATTTACTCAGCATCCCAAAGGGGAAAAATGAAACTAAGTGATCTGATATGACAGAATCATGCAAGAAATTGGTCCTGTATTGAGCAGAGCGTAAACAGAGGGCAAAGCATTAAGAGTGCACTCTAGTCATGTAAGATAAGCTCGCCCAGTGCTCGTCAGAAAGACAACCACCATAGCTTCTCAATAGACATTTGCAATGAAAACTAAAAACATCGAACTAAAAAGCAACAACAAATTTAATTGAGCAGCCATCTTGTTCAAGAACACTTAGTAAAGTTCCAGATTTCTTTTCATTTTATGCGGACTGTGGTCAGTAGGCAAAGCAAAAATCACAAAAATTTCAACCAAGAAATGGTGGTAAAGGCTCCATTAACAGCTACATTTGTAGTAAGGCTGGAAGCTACAACATTCTCCAGGGGCCCTGCTTGGACCTAAATGGTGAAAGTCAATCTCACTCTGCTACAAGACATGAGGTTAAAACTCAAGTCATACATGAGGAGATGTTTCCTGATTCCGGACTACACATATACATGCATAAGTATGTCCATCCCAATTTTAAATCCAATATCATTCGTCGATTAAGGTTTTGCATGGAAGTAGTAAATTGCTTACCGCAACAGAACCTGATACTGAGCCACCTCCAGGATCATTTTCCAACAAAACCCGACATTTCATATTCTTTTGGAGAAGATGCTTTAAAGTGACCAAGGCTGCAAGTAAGGGCAAACAAGTAACCAATTAGAATGATAATCATAGTATCAACAGAAAAAAAATAACTGGCATTGCATAAACCAAGAGGGTACCAGCCATGGACTCTGCAGACTCAAAGCATAAAGAGAATGTGGCCAAACGCTTTATGAATGCTGCGGCCTTCTGCATGTCATGTTGCCTATCGTTGCACAACATCATCTTTAGAGCTTCAGCTAGCACCTCACCCCGATCTCTGCTTTAGACATCAGATATCAATGAGTTAGTACAAAGGGAGAAAGATGCTTTCGCCATTCTGGTGGTCATGATAAAAAAGTCACTATTGGTTTCACGCATTTCTCTGTCATTGCCAAACATCCAGGACTATGGTTATAAAGAAAGTCATGTGAACAAAAGTGCATGAGCAGATGAGTCCAGAAAACGAACTTAATAGCAAGTATATGATCTCTGCTTCAGACATCAGATATTAATCACAGTAAAAAGTGTGGTGGTCATGATAAAAAGAATGCTATTTTTTCTCCAAACAAAGTCATCGGCATCGAGAACTGTGATTTTTATAATAAAATCAGGTAACTGAAAGTGCATGAGTTCAGAAAACAAACTTCAGAGCAAGGTACTGAGCACCCAACATAGAAGTGCTAACCTTCCAGGCCTGTATTCAAGTATGAGGTTGTATAACTGAACAAAAAAATCTTGCAAATCAACATTCAAAGCATCGAGATTGTTTTTCATCACTTTGAAAGCAATGATGCAACAGCGAAGTCTTTCCGAGACAGTCACGCATTTTCCAGAACTGTCTGTTTTTCCACCAGAACATGCAAGCTTTTTAAGGTAGTCCATGAGATCTCCAATATAATCCAAGTCAATCAGGTGAGAAAATTTTGCTAGACCATCCAAACATGGTCCAAGGAGTGGGTGAGCCTCAGTCACATGAGTTGTACCAGTATCTCCATTAGGTCTGCAAAACAAACAAAAAGAATGAAGTAATCACAGTATTCCGTTAGACATCATCCACAAAGATAATTTCGAATTCAACTTTAAGCACATATATTAGGTTGATTGTAGAGAAAGAGTAAACAGATACAGCAAATGGACAGCCTCACTGATAATTAAGAACCACAGCTTAAAATTGTCCTACGAATTTTCTCATGTCAATCTGAAGACCTCGCCTATATTTAAACCCGAGTTTCAGTGTCTGATAAAACATTTGCATTGACACAGTACTGCGCACCAAGACCAATCTTTCTCTATAGTATCATAAGCATAAACAATTTATTTGACACATGAAATCACCTGGGCACAATTGACTGCATAGTGTGCTTCAGAACACGAAAATATATCTCAAATACGGCAGATAGTGTCTCTGACTGCATCCTTCGACGCTCCATAATATCTGGAGCGAAACTAGCTGCTTTATAATCAGCAGCAACCTGTTTACAGCACCAAGTACCTCAACTGTATGATACTGTAAGCAGAAAATCAGAGAAAGTAGTCAATTGTCGTCGCATTAGAATGCCTACCTCTTCCCTCATTTTCGACATCATTTCTTGCCTAGATTTCTTTCTATCAGTCGGTTGTTTATGGCTTGATTCCTCCAATCGGTTTCCTTTCTTATATTTCTTATTTCTAACATTTTTATCCTTATCTGGTGCTGCAGATCTACCAAGATCCTCGTCAAATGACAGAGACATAAGTACCTGAAAAACATCTCGATAGTTATAACAGAGAGAGGGGTAACAAAGTAATTTATAAGCGAAAGTTAAATATAGTGACCTATTAAACATACTTGAATAGAGTCAGGATGCATCTGACAATTATGAGCTTTCACATAATGTGCAATCAATCGAACAGCCGCTCCAGTCACTTCACCGCCGTGTTTACCCTCATTTGTAAAAAGTGACTTAATAGTGTCACAACAAAGTTTCCTGATGATATCCATTCACATCTATTATTCAAGAGAAGAGTAGAGTGGAAAAGTGGAAAAACAAATACATGCCAAGGGATGCTCACGGAAAATGACCAAAAACTAAAAGTAAATTTGTCTATCATGTGTCATTGTAGCACTTGACTCTTTAAAGAGTAGCTCCTTTTCTTGTAGTCCTAAGTCCGTACCAAAAAGAAAAAAGGAACGATAAATAGAATGTTATCTAGTATTTTTCAGACCTTAACATAAAAAAGATCGTGTTTACAATGCATGCATGATTTCATACAAGAGCACATGCACACATGCTCACAGATTTACATAACCACAAGCAGAAGCATTGCATCTCTAAATGATTGCTAAGTAACGCTTCATTTCTTTCCCTTTTTTGTGGGCAGGAAACTTAAACCAAAAGCAAGCAACAACTTAAATTCATAGATAAAAACAACATTTGGTGATCTTATGAGTTCATCGGTCACGGAAGCACACAAGCCATTCACTAAATGAGAATAGAAGTCTGCACCCGAATGACCACATTAACAAAAGACTACTCTTCAAACTTCTCAATTAATCAACCATTCCCCCCATCTAGTCCACCAAAAGGCATTTCCATTGCAAACTTGATAACTAAATAGGTTCTTAACATAAGAAGAATAACGAGAAGTGAAAAAGACATGGCTAAACCTTATGACCTCATCCGAGGAACTTATGTTTCTGACAACAACTTCAACCAAGCTCTCGCGATAATTGAAATGAGGAACAGCATCTAGCAAAGCACAGATGCAGCGAACCACCGCATGTTGATACAAGGAGACCTTTTCTAAAACCATCAACTTCTGCAGGTAGGCCTGTTAAATAAAATTTGAAATAGTTCAGAGCAAATAAAATTGGATCGAACCAAATTCAAAATCAACCTAGTGTCACTGCTACCCAAAAAGCACGCATGTACAAAAGAAATTAGGTAAAAATAGCTTATACTATGGAATTGTCCATAAGCTCAACAATGATCAACATTACACCAACTTAAACCGGAATGTAATTAACCAAGATTTGTAGTGTTTTTTTGTCCTATTTCTGGTGATAGCACTTCATTCAACAATCACAAGAAGATCAAGTAAAACCTTGTATGCCGACAGAAGTGCCGATTCATAATACCGCATCTTCTTGACATCTTTTGAAACTTTCATCTCGAGCTCCTTCTCAGTAGGAAGTCTAATGCGGTAACTATCATATCACAACAAAGGAAAACATCAACACAGTGCCGAGGGAACATATGAAGAGTAGATGTAACTGTGAAGATCACATCTAAATAAATTCAGCCACATACCCAGGAATGATGTCTTTGAACACAGCCAACAAAGATAGAAGCCCAAGCTTAATGATGGCATGATTGTCATCATTGCACATCTGCAGCATTTCTTTTAGAAGTTTAATATTAGAATCTGGATCAGCAAGCAGAGCAATTCCCAGTTCCGCAAGTTTACACTTCTTAGTTTCAAATGACTCTTCTGCAGTGACGTCCTCCTTCAACTCAGCCTAAAGAAAACATGATATTTCGTAAAGATGAGAAGAAATGTGTTGATGTTAAAGTACTGTACATAGGTTACGAGAACAGTACTATTACATTAGCAAACTTGCGATAAACATCCAGGCATGATATCAAGTCGAAATCTTCATTGCATCTAAACCAACGACTCAGCATAAGCAAGCTAAAGTGATCCCACAAGACATATGCACAAGTTTTACCCAACAGGAAGCAAAACACTAAGAAGAGAGGTATAGGCACTTCTAAAGAGATGCTACACAACTAAAAAGTACAATGAGATCTCCAGGGCATGCTGCATCTCACCAACAACCAAAGCATAAATAGAAAGAAAAAAAAGGGGGGGAAGAGTACATTTTTATCTTTCCATCAATTTTAGCAAGTGTTCAATTTCCAGCCCCATAAGAAGTATAGGCACTCAATTAGACAATAGGATAGTTCAAAAAGACAAGAAGAAAAGACCAAAAGATGGACAGGGGGAGATGAAGTGATGGGATACCAAAACAGCTCGTTGGGGGTTGTCTTTCACTTCATCTGGAGGCAGCTCTTTCGCCTGCTTCTTAGCTTCTTTCCTGCTTTTTTTTAGCTTAGCTCGCTTTTCAGCTTTAGTGAGCTTCACCAGACCCTTATCTGTCTCTTGGGTGGCTCCTTCCCCTTCACCCGCACCTTCAGATTGTTTGGATGCATTTAACACTGCATTTTCCAAAAGACAAAAGGGCATAAAAGTTAGCACGGGCCCAAATCGAGCTGAAAGTGTAATTATGTTTCTATATAAGCAAGAGGGTGCAAATACAAGTGCGATAGTATAGTTGGCCGTCCAAGGTCTTGACAGGCAGAGCATCCACATGACCCACTGGAATCCCGGGTTGCTCCTCCTCCTCCTCCTCCTCCTCCTCTTTCTGCAAGGCCTTCTTCTTCTTCAACCTCTTCTCATAGAGGGCTTCCAGAGCATCTTCTTTGAGGTCAGCCACTCGCGTCACATGCCTTGCGTAGCCCACACATACAAAGAGAGTATCAGGGTCACCGAAATACGCACCCGCCTACTGTTTCCACGAACTTTTACAGGGAACTCCAAATGGGCTCATCGGGTACTGTCTTCTACTTTTAAATTGGATCAAGATCGACAAAAAAAGAAAAGGAGGGAGATGATTACTGACTTGGTGATGGAACGGGTGTCTAGACGGGACACGAAGCCGGCGTAGTCGAGGTTGTCGTTGACGAACTGCAAGTCCTCGTCGGAGACTTGGATTTCCTCCTCCGCTACCTCCGGCGGAAGGTCCGGCGGCAGTATTATCCTCTGCTTCCCCATGTCCAACCGAAACCAACCAACAACCCGACAGCTAATCCCGGCGTAGGGTTTAAGGATGGTTCGACCCAGGAAGCCTTAAACCCTCTTTGTCCTTTGGGGATTCGACCTTCTTGCAGATGGAAGAAGATCAAGAACACCCAGTCAAATTGCGATGTTCAAAAATCTGGGCCTTCAACCAAGCCATTGTCAATCGCTAACAGTGACAAATTGGAGTACTGAGCATGGGCTTTTCGGCCCAAACCTTTCGCAAATTTGCTTGTCACTTGCATGTAATTCTAACGCAACTACAGATTTATTTCAAAATTTAACTGAAAATTGAATTCTAGAATAACATTGGAGTAAAATCTATAAAGTACGAAACGAAATAGTTTGCATGATTTTGCAAAGTTAAAAATTATAACGACGAGGGTGATCTGTTTCAGGTAACCCCCCATCCTGGAACATCGAACAAGATCAGGTATGATCGGTTATTACCGATGAAATCGAGAACCGGCCCACCTAATATCTAGAACAGGACCAGACGGTCCCAGGACCGGTGATCATCGTACCATATCGCTACACTTTCAGGGCAAAGCGGCACAAAAAGGACGCCGAAAAGCTCCCTACCGGCTGCCAAAACGAAACCAAAAGGATCCAGACAAATACAAGAACGGCAATCGATAGAGAGGATCACGGCCCCCGTGAGGCAGCAAAAATTTGCAACAAACCAAGAACGGACAGCCTAGTACCCGAGGCCTAAGAAGGAGGACAGAAGAGCAGCACGGCGACATCAAAGGAGGCAAACCTATCGAGGCGAAACGGGAGCGGTGGTACCTCGAGCGCCAAGTTGGAGGCGGTTGGGCGGCGACCGGACGACGGCGAGACACAAAGACCACCGTCGTGGCGGTGGTTGCGCGAGCGACACGCGAGGGGCAAATGCGAGCCAGCGACCCGAACGAAGAGAGCGAGAGCGAGAGAGAGAGAGAGAGAGAGAGCGATAGAGACGGAGCTCGAGCGGCGCACCTCGGGCGGTGGAAGGCGGCCAGCAAGCCGGCGAGGCCGCGGTGGCGGGCCGGTGGCTGGCGGGCGGGCGGGCGGGCGGCGCAAGAGGAGGTAGGGCGTGAAACGACCAAGGAAGAGGAAGAGAAGCGGAGGGGGGGCGGCGCCTTCTCCAAGCAAAAGCAGACCGTACCCCTAACACTAGTGGTGCCACGTCAGCATCCCCTAGGGCAAAAATGAAATTGAAAAACACGCCACGTGGGATTCCGGAATGGCCACGTCAACATCACTCGTGCAAAATGAGATTGAAAAATACGCCGTACTGGATTCCAGCATGCCAGGTCAGCAAATTCTGCTGCGAGCTCGTTAGAAGGAATAAATTGCACCCGGCGAAAAAACGCTTAGGATTTGGCTGGGGTCGCGCGACCTCAGGCGGCCGTCGCCGGGGTCGCGCGACCTAGGCGACGGCCGCCTGGGTCGCGACCCAGGCCGACGTCGCCTGAGGTCTCGCAACCCAGGCCGACGTCGCTTGAGGTCGCGCGACCCAGGCGACGGCGCCTGGGCGGTCGCCCGACCCCAAGCGGCCGTCGCCTGGGTCGGGCGACCTCACCGGCGCTTCGCCGGCCACCCTCGCCGACCAGTTCTGCCCTTCCCGGCTACCCTCGCCGGTGAAGAAGATGAACAGTAATAGGGGCAAAACCGGAATATTAAAACTAAAAATTGCCAAAGCTCTTTGCAAAAAAAAAATTACCAAGCACTACTTAGGCCAAAGTAGCTTCACAAATTTTTTTTTACCAAGCACCACTTACATTTCCCCAAGTGGCTTTCACCTAAAGGTATTTGCATTCCCTCAAGTTGCATTTGAAAAGCCGAACCAAACGGGCCCTTAAGGCTCTATCCCCTCCTTTCGCTGATCGCCAAGTATCTCCTTAGTGCCATTAACCCCAACACAACTAGCACGTGTATCGATCATCGTCACTCGTTTGGTCCACCTCCTTCAATTATTTTCATCCAAATTTAGATGTTAAGACGGGCGGAGCAATACGATGGTGTTTTTTCGCAAAAGGAGGGCAAAAAAAAAATGTGATATAAAAGTAACCAAAATCTTTTATCACTTCTAGCCACGAATCCTTCAATTTTTCGCACCCTCCATACTGAAATTTAAAGCTTTCTCATCTTTGATACGCTAAATCTTTCTAACTATTTCACAAAAATTATATTCATCGTCCAAATTAAACAAAATCTCTTTAGAAACTTGTTTTCCCACGTCATTCACGAAACCAAACAATGCAACGGGTACTCCTTATACCAAACATCGTAATCGCTATTATTATAGCATCGCGGGTCATCCTCCGCCGCCGCCATCTCCTAAATATATACATGATCTACCGAATGCAAAATTCTCGTCCTTCAACCTAGTTTCATATGCAGTCTCGTGTATTAATAGACAAGATTCCTATATGATAACACTAGCAACGACAACACAGGAACACCTAAGGAAGCGGCTCATCTGACGCCGAATGCGAAGCTGCTCGGAGGTTCTGTTGGCCCTGGAAGTTCTATGTTGTTCCCACCCAGCATGACGACGACCGACGACATGGACGGTCGGTTCTCCGCGTCTTGCTGCACGCACAGCAGCGCGATGTGGATGCACTTCAGCACTCGATCTGCATTGTACGACTGCTCGAGCGAAGCGTCCATCAATTCCAGCGCTCGGCCCTGAGACCATCGTTTCCATGCCTGTCGTATTGAGGCAGCTTGTAGACGTTAGAGGAAGAGTACAGCTATTACTTGTTTGACAAGAAGGGGACCGAGAGCATGTTCGGTATAAGGGACGTACCAACGCAAGTAGGGTCTGACCAGGCTCTATCGCGTGCAAACGGCCATTCTTTCTCCCGCTAATTATTTCTAGCACAAGAACGCCAAAGCTATAAACGTCCGACTTCATTGAAAAAATCCCTTCCATCGCATACTCAGGAGCCATGTATCCACTGTTTTACACAAGAAAAAGGAATGACATGATAGAAATTGCCTGATTAGTTTAAATGCCGTAGTGTAATAGAAAATCATGAGCTTTCGAAATCCTTGTGATTACCCTTGGAAAGTCAAAATTCTACTCACTTCAAAATGCTGAACGGGTGATTAGTGCAAAATTGATTAAGAGTTCATCAAGCGAATAGAAAAGAGGTAGTAGCAACATACTATGTTCCTGCAACTCTGTTGGTGTTTGCATCGATTTGGTTATCCCCGAAAATCCTCGCCATCCCAAAGTCCGATATCTTTGGGTTCATGTCATCATCCAGCAAAATGTTGCTAGCCTTGAGGTCCCTGTGGATGATTTTGAGACGAGAATCCTCGTGCAGATACATAAGTCCTCGAGCGACTCCATGAACGATCTTCAGGCGTGACTCACAATCAAGTTGCAAACTCTTGGTCGAATCTATCAAAACATGAAATTAAACGCCAAACCGAATGTCTCATTCTTTCCAAATGAAAATGAGCAGCTAATGGTTTACGGGCAAACCAAAGAGAATCGTGTCTAAGCTCTTGTTGGGCATGTACTCATATACTAGAAGCTTCTCATTTCGCTCTAAGCAGCATCCCATGAGTGTCACAATATTCCTGTGTTGTAGTTTAGCAATCAAGGCAGTTTCACTTGCCAGTTCGGCCATGCCTTGACCTGAAGTTTCCGAGAGCCTCTTGACCGCTATTTCCTTTCCCTCAGCCAATGTGCCCTGCAGTGTTGGTACCAATCGACAATTTAATAGCAGGAATGTACTTGAACTGGACCAAAAAAAAACCATTTCCTGTACCAATTACATCACAATTCAAGAACACCAGTGACCCCATGAGCTCAACCCATGCATGGAGGATTATTCTATCTTTGCTTTCCATGGGTTTGACCTCGTGGTCGGACTGACCACCTTTTTTCAAAGGTTCTTTACATTACCAGGTCTAAATGGTAGCTCCAGGATATATATACTTTCAACACTTACCTTGTACACCGGACCAAATCCGCCTTCTCCAATTTTATTCTGGTCTGAAAAGTCATCTGTAGCCGCCTGTATGGCATCTAATCCCAGTAGCGGAATCTCCTGCAAAATCAATACCTGAGGAACCACCTTCTCGTTGTGCCCACCCCCGATTTCTCCCAAGTTTAGTGACTGCATCACTGGATGACTTTCCTCCTCGGCTGTTTGGACTGGAATTAGAAGGATGAGAACATGTGAAGTTTGCCTAAAGAATCACAGTGTATAGGTCGCATACCTCTATTCAACTTCTTCCTCCTCCTGATTACGACGTAGATGCAGTAGCCGAGCAATCCTATGCAGAATACTGATGACGCAGCGCTTGCAATCCATATCACTTTGTTCCCTTTAGCTGTCGAATATAATAAACATCGTGATGATTTGAGATCACCATTAAGATCAGGATATAATAACAGGAGTCAAGGATGAACTCCTACTCTTACCCGTTTTGTTTTTTCCCTGAGAAAAGATATATAAGAGTAACGGTATTTACCCTTGGCAATACGAGGAAGTTTGGTTGGGCGCAGAGATGCTCGAAACGCAAACCCTGAGTAGCTGCATGCAGAAGAATTTTAGCCATAGATGATTGCGCAGGAAACAGGAAGAGAAATGCAATTGGTCTCCTAAGCTCTCCATGGGGAAAATGCATCAGAACAATCGAAATAAGTGGTTGGAACATGATCTGGGGCTTTTAAACGTTTCCTTTGTCATTTCTTGTGATAAATTTTGATTATCATGTAAATTTTAATTCTATCTTATGGAACAAGTCTTGCGCACCAATTTTGTAACACATTCCTAATAATTGAACAGGATTCAATCATACGCTGTGAAGCAAAAGAAAAGAGAAAAAAAAGAAGAAGATAGATCTTAAAAAGGGCTAATACCACGGAAAATCCCAAACTTGTATACCCGTGATAAATTTATCCCAAACTAATTTTTTGACCACCAAAAACCCCAAATTGATACACCCATAACAAATTTACCCTCCGTTAGTTCCGTTAAATTTAACCGTCAAATCGCTGAGTTAGATAACCAATGACAGTTGACGGGTACACAAGTTTTGGATTTTACCTCTACGTTTGTCACAGATTTATCAATTTGTGATTTTTTTCAAGGTATTAATCCAATTTAACGGAACGTAAATTTGTCACAAGTATACCAGTTTGAGATTTTTGGTGGTCAAAAAATTAGTTTGAGGTAAATTTCTCATAGATATACCAGTTTGGGGTTTTTTGTGGTCAAAAATTTAGTTTGACCAAATTTTTCACAGGTGTACCAATTTGGGATTTTTCGTGGTATTAACACATATTAAAATTATGGTCAACTTTTCTTGTCATATTTAAGTTCACATAGAAGTGTAAAAGTACCTTAATTCGGCAAATAAGACTAGGGAAGTATACTGGAAGTCTTAAAATTTATCACGAAAGTGCAATTGAGTACTAAAACCTCCAAAAAGTGCAATCGAGTCCTAAATATTGCAATGAAAGTGGAATCAAATCCTAAAACTTTTAAAAAGTTCAATCAAGTCTTAAAACTTGTAACAAAAGTACAATTGAGTCCTAAAAACGTTTAAAAAGTGCAATCAATGAAAGACAGAAGGTTGGCAAATGCGTAAGTATACATAGATATGAAATTGAAAATATGTGCAAGGGGTTTTGACCTCATTATGTAGGTATCACCATACCTTTTGTTGTTTTGGTCGAAATGTATCACCGTACCTGAGCGTATTATTTTCAATCTCATCAAGCGCTCTTGATTTGGATTTGCTTCCTTTTCTCCACTCTTGAAATCTTCCTCTTCTTCCTATACTTGGCATCATCGAAGACTCTGCAAGTCTGGCCTCTTCGATCACCGAATCTACAACGAAAGTTTTTTATCGAAATAAAGATCGGAATTCTTATTTTCTTTTGTCATAAGTAATATCGGGTTTGTAATAAATATTACATGTATGTAGTTTCTGTCTACCTATTACCAAAACTTTTGATCAAACATTTAGATCTAAGTCTCATCGAAGATAGTACGAGCTTTAATTCACTGCAGATAAACTGCTTTAAGCCAAATTCCCTTAAAAAACCACAATTTTAGGTTCAATCGTAAGTCTGGCCCCAACTTTTTTTTTTGTCTAAATAAAAACCACCAACTTTTACTTTAATCACAAATCTGTACCGGTTAACCCTCCGTCCAAAATCGCCACTAGTCAGTCTGACGTGGCATTTTCACGTTAGTAATAAATTCACTTCCAAAATAATTTTTTATTTTCTTAATGTACAAAAATATGTTCAGGCCACAATTGAGTCTTAACCTGAAGTTGGAGATTGTTTAGAGAATTGGGCCTATTGCCTTGCATTCAGCGTTGCCTTAAACGTAAACCATGTTTAACAATGTTGCCTTATATTGTTTTTCTTTTTGCCTATACTATTCATGACGTTACTCAATTGAAACTGCTTTCAAAGTTTAAATTATTAGACGGAGGCGCAATTTACTATTTATTTTTTCTAACACACCCCTCACACATAGGCTGAACTTTAGCCTAAGTCTAAAGTATGGAAAATATATAACTGAGGAGTCAATTGTTAGATGAAGGCATGGTTAAATTTTTAAATATATTCTAACACTCCCACACATACGTAAGCTGTTTGAACTATACCTAAAGCATGGAAATATATAATAGGGGAGACAAAAAAAACGGCTTGAAAGATCTGAACTCGGGACATGATGCTTTTGTGGGATTTTGTGGACCACTGTCAACTATTTTAAAAGATAAACTAATACATAGAGGTGTTGTTTACTATTTAACTATTCAAACACATACGTGAAAGAGAGAAACCTATATATACTCACTCCGATGATAAAATCGACTACGGAAACTGGCTTCTGCGAATATGCTTCGATTGGCTGGGTCTACTGACGATGGACGTGCTCGAGCAAAGAATCCATCAGTCGAATGCGGTCTTTCTTCTGCACTTGAGAATTTTGATTCAAACTCATCAAGGCTTGTGTCTGAAATCCTTCGCGGAATCTCTCTCCGATCATCCCTAATCTCCTCCCCGACAGAGGATGATGTAGGTGGCGATGGTGGTGGTGATGAGACGTTGGATCGAAAAGAGATGCACACCTCATCGTCCTCGTTTTCAGCTGTCACGATCTTCCCGCAACGGTAGTCCCCCGATGAGGACATCAAATCGTTCCGAAGTCCGGGAAAATGGTAGCTGAGATGCTGCTTGAACTTGAAGATGTTCCCAGAACTAGCAGCAGGACTCGGAAATCTATCAATGGCAAGCTCCTTTGACGCACATGAGGTCGTTGCGAGCAGATACAACATGGACACGAGCTGGACATCAACATGTGCTCCCGAATTCATCTCTTTCTAGGGAATTGCGAAGGCTTTCTTCAGTGATTTCTCTCCTATGCATTTGTAATAAGATTGTCTGGGAATTATGTGGTGTTGAGGCCTGCTCTGCATCCTTATTCTTCGCTACATCTGCGCATTAACGAGGAACAGCCGCCGTTGACTCCGTCCTCCTGGTAATGTCACTGGTAATTTCAGAGAAAAGTGGTTGGCCGGTGCTGTCACTGGTAAGTTCTGACCGTTGAAAATGGATTAGGATCTGGAAATCTTTCTCTTAATCAAAACTAGTTGTCACTGGTAATTTCCGTGTGACATTCCGAGTTCGAACTTATACACGAGACTTTCTTGAGCGACTCAAGTAAGATTCATCTTCACAAGTTCACGAATTTGTGATTTTTCGTAGTATTAATCCAATTGAACGGAGGGTAAATTTATCACAAGTGTAACATTTTAGGGTTTTTTATGGTCAAAAAATTAGCTTGGAATAAATTTGTTATATGTCTACCAGTTTGGGTTTTTGGTAATCAAAAAATTAATTCAGGGTAAATTTGTCATAGGTGTACAAGTTTGAGGTTTCTGATTGTCAAAAAAATAGTTCGGGGTAAATTTATCACAGGTGTACCAATTTGGGATTTTTGGTGATCAAAAAATTAGTTCGGGATAAAATTATCGTGGGTGTACTAATTTGGAAAATTTCGAGGTGTTAACCCTAACAATTTTGAATGGAAAATGCTTAGATGACCGTCTCTGTAGAATGACGGTCTCACGGTCAAAGGTCAGCCGCGAGAATTTTATGTGGAAACCGGTACACTTCCTAAACAGGTTTCAAATGTTGACTTTACGTTTCCTTTTTTTTTTAGACTTTTTTGTTTCTTTCTTATAAGCTCAAATTGAGAGACAAATTAATCTCAAACAAATTGTAATCGGTTGATATATGAAGAAACAAATCAAAGTAATAGTCAAACAATAAGGAACAAATCAAAGTGATAATATTCAAACCATATTATCCATATGAAATGATATTATTTTGTTTAAAAATAAAAAAATACCTTACAATAAATTGATTTTTAATCCGTATGAAATGATATAGTGTTAGGTATCTCGTGGTCATGTGAATTTTCTCAACGAACCAAACGTTGAAGCTATATTAGGTAAAATCTGTATAAAAATCTATCAAAAATCATTTTTTTAACTTTAGCTTTGACTCATGTGATCCTAAGATTGATTTTGTAATGTTTTAGGTCCCAACACATCTTCTTCTACGAGATTTGGATCAATGGGGTAAAAAAAAATTTCTCTATTAATTCGTTATTCTTATTTTGATCTTTTCTTTGCTTCATTTATTTTATGCATAATCGATATCACTGGTCTTAATTTTAGATCACCAGAGAGTCCTTTTAAAGCAATTTGATATGAGCTAAAGAAATAAGAAGTCATTTCATTGCACAATAATTTTGTTATTAGTTGCATAGCCAATGTTTCAAGTGTTTTTTCATCTTTTAAATTTAATAGATCTATATAATGATATTAACGATTTCTTTTTTAAGTAAGCGATAATGTTTTTTTACTTGTAATTATTTATATTTCGGTATCTAATTTATTTTTTCCCTTCTTCATACTCAAGAAAATTGATTATGTAGGCCCTTTTCTGATTTTGTCTCTCAATTTGAACTTGGAAACATATAAATAAATAAATAAAATAGAAACATAGAATCAAAAATGAATCCGGTTGAGCAAGTGTGGTTTCCTCAAAAATGTCCTGTGGATGACCTTTGACCGTCACTCCGTCGTTCTGCGGAGGACGGTCGTGCTAGGCTAGCCGCCACGTCCATTTTGAATCTTCTTTTGTATTGACCAAACTTCTTTTTCAAAATCACTTGAATTAATACTTGAATAACTTTTAATTTATTTAGGTTTCACGTTCCAAAAGTTTGAAATTTTATGAGTGAAAAAGAAAAAACTACGAGACCAAATTCGAAAATTTACAAACAGCAAATTGAAAGTCACCCTGGGGACTCGAATTCATACTCAAATTGACTTTTTACTTATTTCTTAAGGTACAAAATTTGACCCTCTTTTAAGTTTTCCATATGGTACAAATCCATCGGCATCTACTTTTAGCACCTTCTACCACAAATAAGAGGACATGACGTTGTCATTTTGTTCACCAAGATATAGAAAAGGACATTGATTTTCTGCGAAACAAACAGAGTTTTACTCTGATTTTTTGTTTTTTATTGTCAATGAAAAAAAAATCGAAGGCTGACTTTAATGGCACCTCATGACCCACACGGGTTAGGGATAGCGTGTTGGCCATTGCTAAGCCACATAACTCAATGACGCGTCACGGAAAAAGAATGGGCTTCTGAGACACGGCCTAATTAAGCAAATCTCTTTTATTTTATACGCAATCTTGAACTCCAAATCCTCTTCCGTATTAGCTCATCTGCATGTTGAAATTCATATATTACTTTCTTATCATAAAAAATGGAGAGATTATTGAAAACATTCATTATATTATTTTGAAGATGACAAAATAATCGAAGGCTAGATGCGTGCATTGGCTGCGTAAACAACAGCTTGTAGATGCATAGGCCCGTTTGCAAATGGAGTCTCAACGGGAATATCTAAAGGCTGGTAGTTCTTTGCCTTTACAAAGAATGAACAAGGTATTGGACGTAGAGACTGTTTAATGCTGGACGGACCTGCATAGAAGGTGAACAAGCCGTAGAATGAGGAGTTCGTTAAGGCTTGGATGGACTGTAGAAGGCAAACAACTGTGTAAACCAAAAGATGTTGATACGCTTGACCAGAGTATAGAAGGTGAACAATTAGTTTCAAAGTGATATGTGAAAGGACTGGAAGGCCTGTAGATCGATTGTTTTTCCGTCATTCAAATATCGGAAAGTCGGAAAGCAAACGGACTCTTTAATTGAAGTTTCGAAACAGCAAGTGCATCTATGGTGACTTGCAACATCGTGCCTTCATGTTGTAGGTTGCCATAAAATTAGTTTGTTTCATTGCAAAAAATTGTTTTTTTTTGTAAAAGTTTTCTAACATCCTGACTTTCTTCATTTATCTAGGATGAAACTGAAATGCTCACGAGGAAATTGAGCGTAAATAATGTTATACTTTAAGCTTATGAGATTCGGAAATGGTGTATGATAAAATTGAGCTAATTTACATATATCAGCTGCATGAGGGTACATGTCCTTGTTCGCCGAGGCATCACCCAAATTAAAAATGGCCTAACCACATGCCTGTGTTAGGGTGTGCAACCGGGCTGGCTCACTCCGGGAACCAAACCGAATCATACTGAACCAAACCGGCCTAACCCAACCGGCTCACATGGGGACAGGCCTTGATTGGTTCGGTTCCTGGTTGCCCGCATTGAACCCGTTTTAAACTGAAAGTGCACTGTAAAATCGTGGGTTTATTCTGGTGATGATGCTTGTATGCTCAGAATTATTTGGCTTCAAATTTTCGGTAACAGTCAATTATTTCGCCTTGCAAGTGTAAAAGCTTGCATGTGGAACATTTCCTTCCAGAGTATAGAGAACAGAATCTGTCTAGGGGTTTAGTCTGTAGTCATTTGTGTTAGGAATTTACAATCTGTCCGAAGAGATTCAATCTTCGACGAAATTTAAATCCAATTTTGAAGCCGCTCAGTTTTGGATTGTACTATGCACAGCAACGGAAAACTGAAACAGAAAAGGAACAAAAGAACATAGAGCATTATCAAACAGATGCTACAGAAAACATTCAAACAATGTTCAAAGATTGACCGGGCGAGTGTTCAGCGGGCCCAAAGGAGCAATGAGGGCCCAAAGGATAAGAAAGCAGTGAACCCCAGATCCCAAACGATGAAGAAGGTTGAAACGAGGAAGGAAGCCTAGCTTTAAGTAGACAAAACTGCGTCAATTTTTTTTTATCTATTGTTGAGTCAAATAATCTCACACTCAAAAGCCATAGGCAATGTGAAATCCAAAGACCGAGACAATCATCTAAAACCTTTTTGTTATAAGCAAAAGGAACTTTAACCCAATATCCAGTGTGGTCCTTCAACTTTTAATTTGTTCAATATCGTCTCTGAACTTTTGGTATATGTTCAATTTAGTCCATAAACTATATGAAAATGTTCAATGTAGTCCTTCCATTAATTTAAGCTCAGAGACTACATTGAACATTTTCATATAATTCAAGGACTATATTGAACATGTACCAAAAGTCCAGGGACCACACTGAACATTAGACTAAAGTTCAGGGACTATATTGAACAAATTAAAAGTTCAGATACCACATTGTACATTGAGCCAAAGTTCATGAACTATTTATGTCATTATGCCTAAGCAAAAAGTTGGGTATGACTGAGCCTGCGCAGCTCTCTCTATGTAGATCCTCGACATCGTAATCGTGCCAATGGCAATATTTACCATGTGGTAATTTACATTTAGTAGTAATAAGAAAACACTGCTCTTTTCCCTCTCCCTCTCTACCCCAAAAAATTATGGCATGGTTACTAGACTATGTCAAGCCCTCACCACGGATCGACCGGTCGATCCGAGGTCAATGACCTCGAACTACCTCTATTTGAGGTCGCAACGGCGCGGGCTATGAAGCTTGAGGCGGCGAGGAGAAACGGCCATGGGCGAATGGGGGGGCTAGGCGTGAGACAAGGGAGGGAGACCGAGATGAGAGGGTGACAAAGTGAGCGGGAGAGAGAGATCGAGGTGATGACCCAAACTTAATCTAAGTGAGGGACAATAGAGAGACGACGACCGCAATGGATGGCGGAGGCCACGCGACGACGAGTGGGACAATCGCAGCATGCAAAGAGCCGAGGTTGATAGCCGCTGGGGACGACGGTGTTAGGCTCGACCATGGGGTTAGGGGGGTGGGTTGGTTCGTGCCATTTTATCATGTGGAGTTTACTAATGAGGAAGGTAGGGAGGGAGGGAGGGAGTGTTTTCTTAGGTGGAAACGTAAAATGCACTTGCCATGTGTGAAATTTTTAACGGAGGATGTATAGATTTATACGAAGTTGGGTATGCCCAAGCCTACCCAATTTTGTTCCTTTAGTTGAGTAAGAGAATTCTTGGTAGTTTTAATTTATTATTCACGAAATTTCATA